TATTTAATTTCTTATTTAGTTTATATATATATATATTATATATTCTTATTTTAAAAAGTTTAAAAAGTTAGACTTAATTATTAGTGTGGTCTCGCGTTATTCAGTATTCATTATTTGCTGTTTCCGACTTCCCTTTACATATGTTATTTATATATATTATATATTCTTATTTATTTTTTTTTAAAAAGTTAGACTTAATTATTAGTGTGGTCTCGCGTTATTCAGTATTCATTATTTGCTGTTTCCGACTTCCCTTTACGTAAACCACATATGTTATTTACTAGCTAGTAGAATCAGCATTTATGAAACAAATATTACATTTTTAAACACTACTTACAGTTTTAAATACTGCTATCATTTTATAATGTTTATTTTAACTGATAATTATTTTAATAACTAACTAAATATAATCAATCCAAAATGTTGTAATCAACAAATGACGTATATATAACACGTCATATAAAAGACAAAAAAGCAACACACATTTTCACTATCAATTTTCGGAATAAGTAAAAAAATCATAAAATTTTAATAAAATACAAAATATATTAAAATGCTAAAAAATAAGCTGAAAATTTTTCTTATTTTTTTTGGTAAAATATGATGACTTTATAAAACATGATTAGACTAAAATTTAATCCTGTCATAGTAATTAATGATTGATGTACACAAATTTAATCCTGTCATGATAATTAATGATTGATGTACACAAATTTAATCCTGTCATGGTAATTAATGATTGATGTACACAAATTTAATCCAGCCATGGTAATTAATAATTGATGTACACGCACATATATATATATATATGATCATAGTCTCATTAATGTTAGTCAAGGTTATCAATTCACCAAACAGCGACTCGACTCTGAACTCGAGTCATCTTCTAGAAAAGAGAAAATAAAACATTCGTTTTTCTAACTTACTCATCACGGCAAACTGAGGCAACCATTTCCTGGTTATGACATTGTCCATTTCGTGTGGTAGCTCATCAATCTCCCATTTCCAAATAACCTTTCGCGGGATCGAGCCAAGCACCTTCAATATCGCATCCAGCTTTTTCTGCGGCATGGTCGTCGCTTTAATCATGGAGCCGAGGCTAAAGAAGAGCGCTCCATCGTGCGCGCTATCGAGGAATTCAGCTATGTCCTCCGGCAACGGATTAATCCTGGACGGAATATGAATTCCACCAATCTCAACTACGTTCGGCAGTTGCGGTCTACTGCCATGAAGACTGCTATGAGTGTTTACCAACAACGCGTTCGACTGCTGAGCAATCTTTTTTAGCTTCGGGAGATCAGGACCGAACACCTCGTTGGCGATGATTTGATGGGCGGGTCGGAACCAATATTCGTAGACCGCCTTGAACATCGGCAATGTCACAGTGTTTGTCATTCTGTTGAAAAAATCCATTGGCCTGGTTAAACCAAGAAATATATTTGGGATATAGCTGGGATTGTCTTCGTTGCCCATGTCTTCATTGGTCCACGGCATGATTTGATGCGACGAGAGGGCCAGGTAGGGCGTTTTAAAATGATGGATGAAACCCAGAAAGCAATCGGTGTTGAAGTTCTCCGTGAGGATCACGTCGAATTTTTCGTCGGATCGCAGAAGTTCCGTAACCGCTGGATTTCGTAGACCGGTACTGCACGCGAAATCAGCCATAGATTTCAACATAAGAAATTCATAAACTGGACGAAAGAATGAATGACTGATTTTCTGAAGATCTACGATGTTCACATAGACGCCGACTTCAGGATCTACCAGATCGATATCCTTATAATTAGGCAGCGGTTCTTTCGTCTTGGCATTGTCGGTTCGGGGAAAGTACGAAATTACAGTGATTTCATGACCCTGGTGAGCTAATTCCTCCAAAAGCGGCTTGAACACGTCGAAGGGGATTGTCTTCGTTGCCCATGTCTTCATTGGTCCACGGCATGATTTGATGCGACGAGAGGGCCAGGTAGGGCGTTTTAAAATGATGGATGAAACCCAGAAAGCAATCGGTGTTGAAGTTCTCCGTGAGGATCACGTCGAATTTTTCGTCGGATCGCAGAAGTTCCGTAACCGCTGGATTTCGTAGACCGGTACTGCACGCGAAATCAGCCATAGATTTCAACATAAGAAATTCATAAACTGGACGAAAGAATGAATGACTGATTTTCTGAAGATCTACGATGTTCACATAGACGCCGACTTCAGGATCTACCAGATCGATATCCTTATAATTAGGCAGCGGTTCTTTCGTCTTGGCATTGTCGGTTCGGGGAAAGTACGAAATTACAGTGATTTCATGACCCTGGTGAGCTAATTCCTCCAAAAGCGGCTTGAACACGTCGAAGTGACTCTTGCCGAGATGTCCGAAGACACCCAATATCTTGAGTTTTGTCTTATTTGTATTCACAAACACAGTCTCGTTGACAGATGAACAGTACGTCGAGAAAACCATGGTCAGAAGAAGAAGAATGAATAAATATATCCGCCACATATCGCAAATATACGTGCTAAAATAGGTCTAAATTCACGATAAGTAAACGCAATAAACGTAAGTCAATATTTACATTAGGCACTGATCGACCTACGCCGCCAGCCTTTGCCAACCAACTGGCGCGCAGTCAATTAATCTCTCTATCTCTGTTCGTCCGATATATATCTAACTGCTTGAGTTTAGTGCCTATTCGACGACAGTCGACACGTTCGCTGCCAATAGGCCAACGATAAAGATTCCAGTTCCCCGCGAACTCTCTCGCAAGATAACATTCCGTACGACAATGACTGATCGAAATAAAAATATTCTTCAAAATGATTGTGACTGAATAATAATAATGCTGACTCAAAGAAAAAAATCACTCAAACAATGATGATACTTTTCTCATTTATGATTATTAATTGCTTGCTGTCAAAATTATGAAAACTTTCGAAAATTTTCCTATGATTGTATGTTGTCTAAAATAATAAATTGAAATACTTAATAGCTTTCGAAAATTTTTCTATGATTGTGTATTATCTGAAATAATAAGCTGAAGTAATTAATTTAGAGTATTATAGTGCTATTAATATTCATAAAATTGTCAATAGATAAACTGTTAAGAATTAAAAAATATCTATCCGATCTGATAAATAACAAAAAAAAAATTTTCACACTTACGTTTATTCAAAAAATTTATCTCGATTGATTTATTTATTCGCGCACACAATTTATTTGATTAGGCTATTATTTATTGATAAAATTAATATTTATTTATATTATTTCTAAGTAAAAAATAAAATATGAGAGAAACGAGGCTTGCTATATTACGTCCCTGATATTATGTTGTCAAAGAAACTCGCGTGTTACATAAATAGATACCAGTGATGACGACAATTGTACAGCGCATGAAAATTAAAATAGATTTATTTTTTACTTGTACTATAACCTTCACACTGAATAATCCAAGAGAGCATCGTGTTCTTTTATGATGTAAACAAATTCTCTCTAAAATCTTTATTTTAAATGAGTCAGAATATTACTATCAATAACAATTATAAATGCATTATTTCTTTCAAAATTGAAAACGTTATTTGATGAGCACTAAATGTGCGTTCGCTACAGAAAGAAGAGAGAGAAAGATCACATAAATATTATATATATATCTTTTTTTCTTCTCCTTTTTCAAACCGACGCGAGAAATTATTGCGGGAAAAATCTTCAACCGCATGCATACTGTTTGCATCATTTTTGCGCATCCTATGACATGAGAGATTTTTCTTTAAATGCATTTAAATGCATATTATTTAAATGTACATATATAACATATAATTGTCCAAGAAATCATAAATATTATTTCATATGTTTCGAGTAAAAGCCATTCGTGCATCTATTTATCGCTTATGCGCGCCGGATCAATGTTCAGAATTCTTATTCCGCGAAAACATTCAGAGATGCATTTGTATTGAAATCAAATCGGAACAAAGTTGCTCATGAATTAAACTTCCAGAATGTAAACCGATAGTAAAAGTTTGCTTTTCTGCGTAGTCATTCTTATTTTATCTCAAAAACTTTACTTGATATTAAGTTGTAAAAAATTTAACTATAAAATTTGAAATACTATAAATAATAATATCTTAAAATTTTCTTTAAAAAATAATTGATGTCAACCATAATATGCGTGAAATATTATTAAATATTTTGAGATTTTTTAAGTATAAAATTGTACGTACTCGCCCAATTTTATGCCTCAAATCTTTGCACAAGAGACTCATTTCACATTTCACATGATTAATGATGAAATATAATCACACTTGTAACAGTGTCAAATCATATCATATCATTATTAAAATTATAGATTCCATCAATTAATCTTATCAAATCTCAATACGTGTTAATTGTAAAATTTCACGTATAATCCGTCTAGTTAATTCAATGCTCAAGTTGACGCAAAGAGCGTCAACCTGAAGTCCTTGAAGGTATCGCCGACGAACAAGACACATCTTTGCGGTCGAGCTGCCATCCTTGCTGGTACTGGTGTACATTGCAGCGACTTCGAGTAAATTGACGAGATGCAGTGTGGGTAGCCAGTATACGTACAATGTACAATGTGACGAGCGTTAGTCGAAATAGTCGACATGTCTCGCGACAAAGTCCTGGCCAAGTTATACCGGCGACAGCTATTCGCCCGCTGGTTGTGTCCACTACTCTGGTTAGATAAGCACGCTCAGCTCACCGGAAACTTTGCACCGGCAGTGATATCTAGTGACCGTGGTGCACCGAGTTCTCCGGTGAGTAATCATTAATTAATTGCATTTTGTAATCAGCGGGCCGTGCGCTCGCTTTCGTTTCCATTCAACGTTCTATAAACCCCGTTTGCTTATTCGCCGGCGCGGTGGTGCAAATAGTATTACCGTAATAACGTCGGCGTTAATACTGACGCGCGTTACTGGTATGAATAAAAAATAGCCAGCTAGGCAGAGCAGCAGTGTTGGTAACGTTTTATTGAAGAACAACAAATATTTCGAGTCGGTATACGCTGTCGGTTTATATAAGCACGCGTTAGTCGAGCGCTTGATTCGATTGTTAAATATTTTTTTATCTATTGTTTCACCGTTTCTCTATGCCGTATGAGCTGTCGTATTGCTCTTCGCTGTCACGCTTGCCTTACAGCGAATCTATCAAGTACAATACAAATGACAAATAAATTATCGCGTATCGCCATTAACGTGATATATATCATCATGTGTATGATACATGATGTAAAACTTGATTTAATTAATAATAATCTATAAAAAACGAAATATATATCATACACACACATTCTCATTCTGTGCAAACATAATATATTTTCATCTGTGCAAATATATAAATTTGCTAAATTTCAAAAAATATATAAACCGACATTTAAATGTATTATTCAAATTTATGCTTATTAGAAATTGGTACTAAAAAAATTTAATTACTAAAATTAATAATATATTCAGTGGAATCAAAATTATATTATTATTATTTTTAAAATGCCTATATAAATATTTATTTCTTCTGAAGCTACAAAATGTAGAAAGCAGAATTAATCCATGTCTCGATCACAAAAATATATATTAAATTCTCATCATAAATGATGCATAAATCCCTCCTCGACAAAAAAAAATAGAAAAAATTTTGTGGCGCTTTCACAATTATATCTTTCCCTTTCTGACTTCTTTTCGGACCAACAAGGGTCCAACTACGGAGGAAAGTGCAATACTAAAACTCGGTAATTGGCCCGACTCCATTTTCCTCCCTGTTAGCCTCGATCATTTTTCGCCGTTTATAGTGGTGAGAAAACATCGAGTAGCTGTAACGCATATCGCACGTACATACAGATACGCGTATACGAATAACCCCTGTGCATATTCTCGCACACGCACCCGCAGCAAAACGAACCGGCGCTGTTTAATTCATGAATCAGCGGAATCGCGTGGGCGCGCAAAAGATGGTCTACAAATTGCTTCGTTTAACCGTACCAATTCTCTATAGGGATAATTCGGACCCGACGTTTGTCCGAGGGTCACGATGTTAACCCTAAGTCCTTATTTGTGACGTAGTGAACTCCGAGTAAATCAATCGATATATATAACCACATCAAAAATACATTTTCTCGATATTGGACCGAAAGTAAATCATATAAACGAGATGTCTTCACATTTTTTTGAGAAAGTACAGATTATTTCTTTAATAATAAAAATTATAAAAATGTGTTTTACATATATAAATTGATGTTACAAAAAAGAAGAGGGATTAATGAAGCGTAAATTTATTTTTCTAAAGTTACTTTACGATTTTACTTTCAAAATAAGATAATTAATTAATGAAATAAAGACAAATAAACACGTAATTTTAGACTAACAAAATCATACTGCGCCCCGTATATCTATGTAAATTTAGATAAGCGGGACCGTCTAACATTCCCTTCCTTTTTTCAGCTTCAATAGACCTCTTCGTAAAACTTAATAACCTGAAGAACTGGTTGTGCGTCAATCCCGAGGAAATTGTGGCGGACCACCGTGTCCTTTATGTCCGGCTTTTATACCGCCATTTCAAATTCGATGTTACGAGTTAGGTATCTATACACACACGCACACACGCACACACACACACACACAATGGCCCACGGTTATTCGCGCGTAGCGAAAGGGTGACGCGCGTAAAACTACCCTCTGCTCTAAATCCACTTCCGCGACCATCTTGGGAGAAAGGTGTTACATGTCGCTTCCGCTGTTATGTTCCTCTATGGAAGATTTAACTTTCAGCTAGTATAAGAAACATTATATATTTTCTTTTTTTTGTTTTAATACCGGAACATATACTATATTTCAACATTAGCGAATATGTATAGATATTATTAACCAGATTTTTCCTCTTCTTCTTTTTATAAAAAAATATACAAATAAAATTCTGAAGATAAGATATAATCTCAACAAAGAAACATATGTAAATGTGACATATATTTTAACGTAGCCACAAGGATTTCGGAAAATTGAAAAAGATTCGCTCAAAAGAATAAAGGAAGACAAGTAGAAACAGATATTTATAGACAAGTAGAGAAAAAAAAAATACGTTTAAGAACAGATCACAAAAAATTTTATATAATTATTCTGGTTTCCTTTCAAGGAATAATAATGATAATTTATTTTATTCCTTAACAAAAAATATCGACGTATTAAATCTATTTTTTACCTATTTTTTTATCTATTTTTTTGCACCCTCTATAGTGGTGCGACCTCCATATGTCAGTCTGAACAATTAACAATTAACTCATAAGTTATAAAAGGACATAATTGGTAATCTCGGAAACTGCAGCCTTGGCTCTCTAACGAGTCACGGCTACGTACGTCTATTCACGGATACATCCGAAACTATGTACACGTTCACAAACGCATGGTCCTTCACATACGTGTTTACATTACGTTATTTCGTGTGTATAGTTTAGCCGGAGTAATATCTCGAAATCCATTAGCACCGTCTCCGCGGACCGCAATCTTGATAATTCCACGTGGACTCGGCTCGAGAGTGCGGCGAACGAGCCAGAATCACCGCCGAATGCGGAAACACGTCGGCCAAATGAACGCGCGAACGCTCGCGAGAACGCGAGATGGTTGGCTGGAGAAGAAGAGGCAGGTCGGAGAGGAGAGAACGCGAAAGTCGAAAGAGCAAGGGCTAGACGGGGAGAAAATACGGAGGGTTGTCGAGAGAGAAAGAGAGAGGGAGGATAAGGCCGCCAAGAGACGTACGACTCCCCGGGGAAATTTAGGTGCGACCTCCATGTATCACAGAAGCTGCCGTAAGTAGGTACCTAACCGACGTACGTACGCCACATACGTGCCGGCGTCCGCGCGCGAATAAACGCGTGCCACGCGGCTGGAACGGGGGACACGCGTGTATTCTTCTGAAAGATTGCGATGAAAGGAAACGAAAGATAGATATGCGCGTCTTCTTTA